TAAGTTTTTATTTATTCAACTAAATTATATCACATATATTTAAATAGTTAACTATTTCTAATCTGATTTAAAATAGGATTACATTTTACTATTTACCAAATAAATATATTATTTTAAATAGATAAATCTTTTGAAACGTGGCTAAATCTAAAAATCCGAATTTGCAAAATAAATTACTCTTACTATTTTAATAATTATTAAACGTAAAAAAAAAAACCAAACAAAAAGTGGAAAAATAAATTACTACACTTTATAGGAGGGAGGTCTCTGAGCTCATTCACCTACAATGGTCTACACGTCTTCCACCTTCGCGTGGTCCACCTCCGACTCTACTAATGCTCATATCCAGTGATTCTCGTTGGTTTCTTCCCAGTTTTACCAATTTGGGAGATACTATCCTTCGTGCATATGATGGTTCCCCGCCAAAATGGGCTTACTGCCCGCCTTTTAAAGTATGGGGATGGGAATCCTTACTCAAAGGTCTTTTTATCCTTTCTTTCTCATGTTTTTGAATATAACCAACTCTGTTTCTGAAGTTAGCTTTTTTTGTGGTCCGCGCGCAGAGTATTCTCACTTAAGTCATGTGATGACAAACTGCCAGGCACGTGAGCGTGAGCTTTTTCCTGCGTGGCAGTGCTTTCTATGCGATAACTTTAACAAAAGCTTTGATGATCTCATCAAGCATCTCAAGAGTGAATATCACAAGAATGTGGTAAGCATCCTTGCCTCCTACTCTCAGCTTTACCTTTGTAATTGTCTAACGATTACTACAGTTATATCAAAACTTGACCCCATGTGGATGTTCATTTGGCTTGCTATCAAGCAGTTTTTGGACACGGTGCCCATATACGAGGAGCTCCATAAACCTGTCTTTTTTTGCGAACTTTGCCAATATCCTACCTACGACACTTTCATCTTGGCCATCCATTACAATAGTGAAGTACATGCACAGAAAGCAGCATTAGTAACCATCCTTGCCTCCTAGTCTCAGCTTGTATCGCTATCATTCTAAGAAAACCTTTTTGTATCAAAATTTGATGTGCATTTTATTGTCAACTAAGAAAGAGCTTTCCTCTAAGAAAGAGGCTCGAATTATCTATCAACCTAACATAACTCGAGAAAAGGAACAGGAAGAGATCTGAACAAGAGGATCGCTTGTACGATAACAAGAAGCTGAAGAATGCGTGACCCATGGGGTCTTGTTTTTTTAATTTTAAGTTAATGGTTTGTTCTGGTCTGTTCTACTACTATGCGTTGTTGGAAGAGAATATAAAAGAACAAAACAAAATCTGGAAAAACTTCTCTTATTCTCGACAAGTTTACATGACTACAATTGACACACTTATATAGATGTACAATAGACACAAGTGAAGAGTTTTGTCTTTCTAAACAAAAATAACTACCCTTTCTTCTCTAACAAGTCACAACTTGTAAACACACCTCTTCACTTTACATACTCGGAGAATTGTATAATTTATAATAAAATACAACTAAACTCAATTATAAACTAACACTCCTCCTTGAATACAACGTGACCCACGGGGTTTTGTTTTTTAAAATTTAAGTGAATGGTTTGTTCTGGTTTGTTCTACTACTATGCGTGGCCCGGTTCAAGCCATTTTCATATATTTTGTATTCCTCGTTTATATATCTTTTTGATTTTAGCTATACCAAATTGGATTAGCCGATTAATTAATACCAAAGACCCCGAAAGCTTAGATGTTCTTGATTTGTCTAACACAAGTTACACAACCTTTCCGGTTTAATTAATCCCAAATTTCTCTATGCAGAATCTCAAGCTTTTTTCTTAATCTCATTTCAATGTTTTGCTTCAATAATCTAAAGCAAAACATTGCTTAAAAAATACGAAAACACCAAAGGCTCAAATGGCAATAGAAGTGATAAATCAAGAGCGACTAGTTACGGCCCATAAAATCAAATAAGCATTCAAAACTCAAAAGAAATTCTGAAAATACTTCCAAAAAAAGAAAGAAAGTTTATATTATAAAATTTTGGTTCGGTAATGCAAAACAGTTTTTTTATGAGATCTTTAGATAGATCTTGGTGGTTTGCCACTAGTGATACAATCATGCAAAATTGTAAAGCTCATCTCTGAGTGGAAAGAGCAATAAGAACATTCATCTTGGTTGATAATCCATTATTTATTTATTTTTGCTAAACTTTTTCAATTAGATAATCCATTATTAGTAGTGTCACTT